ATAATGTCCTTCAAGTTCATCCACATTATGCAGTGTTTTGCAGATTCTACTTTATTCTTTAGGGTTGCGTAGTATTCCATTGTGTGTATGAACCATAGTTTGGATATCCATTTTTCTGTTGATGGGCACCTAAGTTGTTTCCATCTTTTTGCTATTGTAAATAGTGCTGCGATGAATGTGAGTGTGCATATATCTGTTCTTGTCCTGGTTCTCACTTCTTTAGGATATATACCTAGTAATGGGATTGCTTGGTCAAATGGTATTTTTACTTCCAACTTTTTAAGGAATTGCCATACTGCTTTCCACAGTAGTTGTATCATTTTACAGTCCCGCCAGCAGTATATGAGAGTCCCAATCTCTCCACATCCTCACCAGCATTTATTTTCTGTCTTGTTGAACTTTGCTATTAGTGCTGGAGCCAGGTGGTGTCTCGTTGTTTTGATTGGCATATCTCTAATGGCTAATGATTGTGAGTATTTCTTCATGTGTTTGTTGGCTGCATGAATATCCTCTGTGGTGAAGTATCTATTCACATCTTCTGCCCATTTTTGAATTGGATTGTCTGTCTTTTTGTTGTTGAGGTGTTGGAGTTTTCTATAAATGTTAGCGATAAGTACCTTCTCAGCTATGTCGTTGCTGAATATTTTTTCCTGATCTCTAAGTTCTCTTTTGACTCTTTTGGAGAAGTCTTTGGAAGCACATAAAAATTGAATTTTTAGAAGGTCCCATTCATCTAGTTTTTCTTCTGCTGTTTGTGCAATTTGGGTTATGCTTGATAGTCTATTTATGCCATAAATGAGGACCCCTAAATTTGCCCCATAGTGCCTAAGGCACTAGACTGCTAACCAGAAGGCTGGCGGTTCAAACCCACCAGCCACTCCTTGGAAGAAAGGTTGGGCAATCTACTTCCATAGTAATACTGCCTCGAAAACCCAAGGAGGGGTCACTATGAGTCAGGGCCAACTCGACGGCACATAACAACAACAAAATTTGCCCCTAGATTTTCTTTGAGAAACTTCATAGTTTTAGGTTTCACATTTAAGCTTTGATCCATCTGGAGTTAGTTTTTATGTATGGTGTGAGGTACAGATCTTGTTTCATTTTTCTGCAAATGGATATCCAGTTTTGCCTGCACCTTTTATTAAAGAGACTATCTCTTCCCCATTTAATGGATTTTGGTCCTTTGTCAAAAATCAGGTGACCATAGGTCAATGGATCTATTTCTAGGTTCTCAATTCTATTCCACTGGTCTATGTGTCTGTAGTTGTACCATTACCTGGCAGTTTTGACTATTGTGTCTGTATAGTAGTTTTTGAGATCTGGGAGGGAGAGACTTCCTACTTTGTTCTTCTTCTTCAATAGTGCTTCTTCTTATCCAAGGTCACTTTCTTTTCCATATAAAGTTAGTGATTGGTTTTTCCATATCCTTAAAGAATGTTGATGGGCTCTGGATTGGGATTGCATTGAATGTATAGATTGCTTTGGGTAGAATTGACATTTTCACAATGTTCAATCTTCCTATCCACAAGCATGGGATATTTTCCCATTTATGTAGATCTCTTATGGTTTCTTGAAGTAGTGGTTTGTTGTTTTCTTTGTACAGGTTTTTTGAGATTTATTCCCAAGTATTTTATTTTTTTGATAGCTATTGAAAACGGTATTGATTTCCTTATTTCTTTTTCAGCAATCTCTTTGCTGGTGTAGAGGAATCCAACTGATTTTTG